AGTATGTTGCTTTAAAGCTTCATTTTTAATGTTGGTTGCCATACAGAAATTCGTGCGGCAGGTGGGGACGTGCGTCAGGTGATCAAGTACGGTACAGGTTTAGCGGTCCGCACCTGCATCCGCATCCATATCTGGCATGCTCTCACTATTATCAATTTATCAGCATCTTAGGGTGGTGAGGATTATGTATGTGGACACCAGGGTCCTTTCTCGGTGTCTGGTAGAAATTTCCAGTGAGATGGCGTAAGCAATAGTAATCATTCAGGACGGGCATGATATAAAGCCGATCGTCTACCGCACTCTGCAGTTCTCAGAAGTCAAGTCTAGTATTCTTTTTCATTTTCCTGTGTTTACTACATAACCTCATCATCTCCCAGTCAAGCTATTCATATCCCTAGTCAAGTATCCCAACCATGACCGTGATTCGCAATGTTGCAATTGCTGGCGTAAGTTTCCACCCCTCACGAACCAGAATCACAACTAACAAGCAAAGGCCTCCGGTGACCTCGGCACCCCAGTCCTAAACGCCCTCATCGAATCCAACAAGTTCAACATCACCGTTCTAACCAGACACTCCTCCAACGCGCAATTCCCCTCCACCGTCCGAGTGATCCCAGTTGACTACAACTCAACCCAAGAGCTCACCACCGCTCTAAAGGGCCAAGACGCCATCATCTCCACCCTAACAACTGCCGCCATGGACGTGCAACACACCCTCATCGACGCCGCGATCGCTGCAGGCATCAAGCGATTCATTCCCTCCGAGTTCAGCGCCGACGTCGGCAATCCCAAGTCGTCCACCTTGCCCGTATACCAGTCCAAGATTGCCGTCAACAAAGCTCTCGAGGCCAAAGCGGCGGAGAATCCCACCTTCACATATACTTTGATCCGCCATGGACCCTTCCTTGACTGGGGTCTTAACGCGGGGTTCTTTTTCGATTGGAGGTCTGAAACGCCTGCGTTCTATGACGGTGGTGATCGGCCGTTTAGTACCACTACTCTAGCTACGATTGCTAAGGCGGTCGTTGGAGTTTTGTTGCACTTCGATGCGACGAAGAATCGTCCTGTCTATGTGCATGATCTGCTCACGACTCAACGCCAGATTTACACTATTGTCCAGAGACTAGCTCCCGAGAGGAAGTGGAATCCAGTGGATGTGAGTACGGCGGAGCTGGAGGTTAAGGCGCGAGAGGAATGGGCGAAGGGGAATACGGATTTGCGGGCTATTGTGGGTCTTGTGTGTCGGGCGGTGTTTGCCGAGGGATACGGTGGAGAATTCAAGAATGTTGATAATGAGCTTCTTGGGTTGGGGTTCAAGACGGAGGCTGACCTTGAGGAGGTGGTGAAGACGGTGCTGGGGGACTCTCTGCGATAGGGCATGGAGTAGTCTAGTTTATTCTGGTTAGGGCTGTGGGTCTGGGGTTCGTTTCGTAGTGATTTTGACAGCTGAGATTTGCAATTTGATTAAGTTTCATTTGGATATAGGAGATATTCAGTCCCAGGCCTAGGTTTATATGAGTGTTGTGCCCCCTGAACAGAGTATTTGAGGCGCAGTCGTGGTAAGCTTACGGTTTTTCAAAAGCTAATACTGATATTGCGGCAAGTGGCTTTCTTTTTAAATCTTATTTTAGTATCAAAAGTCTTTCATTAATGAATATACAATATAGAAAATAACCCAGCTATATCTTATCATCATCACGCTCGCTCTAGGCGTATCTATAAGCAAAACAATGTTCTATAACATCTAATCGTTCACTGAAGACCGAACATTCATCATCACTTTTATTCCCGTCTCACTTCACGGGTTGAGACTTATACCGAGAAAGTATGGGGAGTCTTGAGAGCGATAGGAGCATCGTCGCGCAAAGTCTTGCCGATCAGGTGATCGAAAGATGGAGAGTGGGCGACACGAGGGGTGAAGTCTTCGATATCCCAGAGATATCCGAGAGTCTTGAGGACGGAGGTAGCACTGTAGGGAGCGGGCTTGCCGGTGACGGGGTCCGTTCCATACTGTTCGATGTATCCCTTCTTACTGTAAGGGGAGACAACCCAAGTTGGCATGCGGCCACCCAGACGGTCGAAGTGAAGAGTGTACTTCTGGCCGTTCTTCGCAGTCTCGGTGTAGGTCAGGTTGTCCGGGCGGACGGCGAGCGGGGGAGGGACGTGGTCGTAGAAGCCACCGGTCTCGTCGTAGGTAATGAAGAGTAGGGTCTTGTCCCACTGGGGGCCTTGGCGGATGGCGTCATAGATCTGCTTGACGAAGACCTCACCGTAGGAGACGTTGCCGGTGGGGTGCATGGAGTTTGTGTTGGTGCCGCAGCAGGAGGGGTTGATGTAAGAGAACTTAGGCAGGACACCCAAGTACGCATCTTGGAAGAAGTTCTCGACGGGCACCACGTTGGACCGGGAGGTCTGGTTGACGTGGGTGAAGAAGAGAGAATCCGGTTCGAATTCTCCGTTGGTGCCATCGTAGTTGAGCCAGGAGATGCCCTTCTGGTTGGCGGCCTCGAAGATGGATTTGCTAGAGATGCCATAGTTCAGGAAGTCATCGTCATTCTTTCCATGTCCAGCAGAGGTTCCTGCCAGAGCGCACAAGCGGTTGGGGTTGGTAGGCTTTTGGATAGGTTAGTAAAGCCCGACAACATACGGATTCATCACACTTACTCCAGGCACACACGAGAACCAGCTGTTGAAGGTCGTGAACTCATCCACAAGGTCCACAAGTGTAGGAACCTCCTCCTCGGTGTAGTATCCCATCACCTGCCTTGTCGCCTCCTCTGGGGCCAGCTTGGGGTAGTCGTTGAGCTGGGCGTTGAGGAAGCCAGACTGGTCGGCGACGACCTTGCCACTGGCAATCGCACCATTGTTTGGGGTGTAAGTCCCGTAGAACTCCAAATTATTGCCAGTCACGGAGTGGTCTGGATCGTTGAACACGGAATCATAGTCCTTGGCCTGAGTACAGTACTTTCCAGAGGATGGGTCGCTCGCATTCTTGTAGTTGCAGAATGGTCCGTTGTTGATCGGGTTATCGAGTCCTTGGCGGCGCACACCTCCCAAGATGTTATCGAAGGATCTGGACCATATGTTAGTGCTTGTCTTCACATACCACTGGCTGGAATTAAGGGGTTTGTTTGTTCCACATATGGCTATCACAAGGGCACACCAACCTGTTCTCGAGAATGAGCCACACAATGTTCTCGACCTTGTCCTTCAAGTTCTCTATGGATTCCTGGGAACCAGCCTTGTATCCGAAAGGAGCTTCTCGCACGCTCGTATACTCAGACGTGACAGGGCTAGCAAGACCTAGAGAGGCCAAGAGGCTGAGACCAGTAAGCAGAGCGGCGGACTTCATGTTTACTCTCCAATTGAGGCCGTGAGCTTGAACAATGCTACTTGCTAAGACACCTGAGCCCGTCCACGGCAAAGCTTATATAGCCCACCGGAGGAGCTATCTTTTCGTCCCATTTGGATCCCACGTGCGCCGTGCGTCGGGTTGAAGCGCAGACCCGTCGAGGCATGAGGGACTTCGACTTCATACCGACCAGAGGCAGCCTATCACCGTCCAACTTTACAAATCGTTCTTCCTTGGAAGTCACCGGAGACGGGATGGCAGCCATATCGACAAAGAAAACGATATGAAGTGGATGCCACATGAGTGGGGCTCTCATTTGACAGCCTTGGTCAGGAATAGAGCGTGATGTGAAATGGGAATGGGATTGGACAAGCAATGGCTAAGCTACTAGGGTGGGGAGAAGTACTAAACCAAGACATGGGGCAGCCTACGCTAAGGCGAGGAACGTGAGCTTAGCATCCCAGTTCCATCGCCTACTATGATCTATCCCTCTCAAAGGGGTCATTGCCCTGCAAGGGGTTGCCTCAACGGTAAGACTTCAGTACTCTCAGGTGACAGACAACTCTCCTCGAGTTGAATCGGTTGTTCAGTGAGCAAATTGGTGTATGTGGGCGAAAAGGGGCAGGATAAAAAAAAAAAAAAAAAAAAAGAAAGAGAAAAAAAGGTACGACACACAGCTCTTTCGGATGACTGCCGTTGGCTCAAAAGCCAGTGCATCTCGTGCATGCAGAGCGGCATACGACTCGTTATCAGGATATGCATCATCCAGGAACCACGACCGTCCATCTACCAGTGAGGTTCAAGACCGACAACACGGGCCGTGGGCAGGCGATCGGGTTTCTTTGGGAGTATCCACGCGAGAGATTTCGTCCTTCTCCACCCGCCCCACAGCGTCTCTCTGCGGCGCGAATGCCGTGAGATATTCCTATTTGACAAACAGTTAATAGTGAAAAGCAATACACTACTACGTAGCAAGGACTTGAAAAACAACATGTAGCGATGCATCCATCCGGATATATTGGTCTCGGAAGGTTTCCATCCAATCGCCGGAGTCATAAATGAACCTCACATATACCGGTGGAGATGAAACAATCCGACTCCACTATCTGATTACTGGAGATAGATGGGACGGCTGAAAAATTGGCTCCGAGATCCTTGCTATAACAGCAGAACACGGGTGTGGACTGGCTTTTCTGATTCGTCTGGTACACAGTACCCCCCCCATTGTGCCTGAGTTTGCGCAATGTTAAGGTGCAGTAAGGGAGAAGTATATAGTTGTTGCTACGGAAAGCGGTAAGTAAAAACCCTCCAGAGTCACGGGCCTGCAAAAGTCAATGTCCAATGCTTTTGAATCCTTACCGACAAATTTGTCTCTCAGCAATCATTCTCAACGCAAGTATGCTCTCCTGAATTCCAGGTGGCAATATTCCATGATAGGCGATAACAGATCATCCGCTATCTCTGATTTGTGGATCGTAATCCAGTCACCCGACGAAAATAATATGCTCAGATACATGAGAGGTCATATTAAGAAAGCAGGCAAATCATTACCGCGGTAGAATTCCTACAAGCCCCCCGGGGATTCGATGGAAGCATGAGATAGGTCACATTGATTACTTCGGGAGCGGTTTCTACCACATCATTCGTGATCGCTAAAGTCATCATGAGTCTATTATCATCGGCTATATACATTGCCCGTCTCCATATGCGTTAATACATGAAAGATTTTGCAATTATGACACCCACCATGCCCAGCGGGACATCGGGTGTGGAGTACTATACAGGCCCAGCATCTGAATCAGCGGCGGCTCACGCAGCACATAATACCCGACTTGGCCAAGAAGTACATGGACCCAATGAACCGGAAGAAAGACAGACCGGCCGTGGCCCACAGAATGACTCGGAAATACCACGAGGTTCTCGTCGTGGAGGTGTTCTGTGCGACTCGTTAGCATCAAGCGAGGCGCGATCAAAGGAGAGGGAGAAGCATACCGTCAAACACATAGAATTGACACCAGTGGCCGTGATCAACAGAGACACAATCAGGTTGCTAAACACCCAGAGCAACACCAGCATCGTACGGAAGTTCTTGTATGAATCATCCAGACTGGTGGATTCCTCTTCCTCCGGCTCCACCCACGGCGTCAAGGCACGCTTGACCGTCGCCTCGAACTGGCTGTCGATATCCGCTTGCGGCTTGTCCACTTCCTCGATGAACTGCTGCTTGCTGCCGTCTTCTTTCTTCGTCTGTGCGGAGGGCAAGGCTTCGGCTTTATCGGATCCCTTTGTTCCCCAGGAGACGTCATGCCAGTTGCAGAAGGCATACACCATCAGAATGTTGATCGAGGTCGTCATACCGAAGAAGTAGGCCCATGAACTGGTGAGAATGTGCCACGGGTCGCCGTAGAGCAGACTGGCAATGACGTAGATACCGTAGGTGGAAATTAAGGCGATCAAGACAATACCACCGCTATCGGAAGCGAAGAACGATGAAAAGAACCCGCTCGCACCGTGGCTAAAATCGAAGTCCATCATGCCACCCGTGAAAGCGTTGGCTACCAAGTAGAACGACAGAATCAGGACATAAATCTGCACGATAGAGAAGTAGAGGAAAGAGAGCGTGTAGGGAAGTCGCGTTCTAATCGGGGGGGTTAGCAGGCCGTCGAGTCTCATCACAATCAACAGCAAGACTTACCCTTTCGGTCGGTTACCCAGCGCCAAGATGAACTGCAACATCAAACAGAAGATATAGCCATATTTGAGGAAGGTGTTGATGATGGGCGAAGCCTCATTTCCGAACGGCCATCCCTTGTCCTGGTTAGCGGTAGCGGGCGTACCGACGAGATCCATGATCACAGAACTGGTGAGCCAGTAGGAAGCTGAACAGCCACCAAAGTCAGCGGACGAGATCTTTCGTGCAGGGAAGGGGGTGCGGGTGGGACATACAGAGAGAGAACCAGGTCATAATAAGTTGACAGAAGTTATAAACCATTTGAATGTGCAAGAAAAACATGCGAACAAAGCTGTGTCCACTACGATAGATTCGTCCGAAGTGCATCATGGCATACAAACCGGCGGCAAAGGAACCGTTCAACCAACGTCGTCGCTGACCGATAAACTCGGCCGAACCCTCCGGTACGTCCGTTTCACCTTTAGATGCCTTGACGTACGATAAATGCCACTTGTAACCGGCCTTGGCCACGAGCTCAAAACACAAGATTCGATCTTCGGCCAAGAACATATTCTTCTTGAAAATATTCATACCTTCGATACCTTTCTTTCCGAGACGCTTCGATAGCGTGTGGTCTCCGTGGAAATACTGCTCCAAGGGGCGGCCCATAATCGCACGATAGCGGTAGGCTGAGAAGGCACCGGGCAACACACTGACATAGCCGAAGGCACTTTCTAGGGGTTTATCCAGAATATTGGAGATCTTATACTCGAAATTCTGCGAGGCGACTAGCGGGTTCAGGACCTTTCGCCAGCCCTTTCCTAACATAGCGTGAATCTCACCACACGAACCACCGAGGTTTTTATCGTTATAGAAAGATTCCCAAAGGGCCAATAGCGATTTCTTGCCGGGTTTGGTTCCCGCGTCAATCAGAATGCAGACTTCCGGGTTCAGAATCCGACTAAAGGCGTTGAAGAGCCAACGGTGAGAGTTGATCTTCTTGCTATTCTTCTGTTTGAGACAGAAAATCATCTGGACAGGAGGGAGATTTGAGGGGTCGTTGCCCTGCGGCCGAACCAACTGTTGATTTGCGGTGACGGACAACTGCGTGGTATATTCGAACTGTTCCGGTCAGTCCCATCGATTCATCGCGCTCGGGGAATTATTGGAGAAAACGTCAGAATTTGGGGGGGGAACTCGCAAAACTCACAATATGAGCGACCGTTTCCCGACCATCAACGTCCTTTTTCATCACTCCATCTTGGTAAATTCCGACTGTGGCCAACACATCCAGTGTGTTCTTGTCGCACGGCTCGATTCCGTCAAAGACGAGACAGACGACGATTTTCTGCCAGGCGGGACCTCCCTTGTTCCAGAATTCGGACTTCTTCAAGTTGACAATATCGCGCACATTTTGCATCACACCGTGCAGGGTTCGGGCGGTCAGAACCTTGTCTTCATTGTAGTAAGTGATGGCGATCAGCAGTTCGGTGTGGCGGTTGTAAATGGCCGGGCGCAGGTTGTATCCATTTCGCAGAGTGAATTCGTCCGGGTCACAAGTAGCCGCCGTATCTGTGACGGGAGGGATTAGTCCAACCAGTCTCATGGTGTTGCTGTACGAAAGGACCTACACCGCATATGCGTAAATTCCTCCGAGAAGGCCTCCTCCGCTTCACGATATTCCGGTTGAATGGCATTCTGAATGGCACTGGGCACCGGATAGTCGACACTCAGAACGGAACCCTGCACGAGGTTGATCTTACGGGTTCCATAACGGCGCAGACCCGACCGGTTACTGATGCTCTGTGGCTGGAAGGTATCGAGTTTAATCCCGCTGGTTTCCGACATGCCCGTGGCATCGTAAACTTCGGCCGTTTCGGACTCTTGGTAGGGGGGCGCAGCGAAAACGGTGACACCGGGGTCATGGAGGGTATAGCGACGCAGTGAATCGGACGATAGACTGGGATCCTCAACACCGTATATACTGGGATGATTATGGCGCAGGAGCGACGATTGCTCCTGCTCGTCTCGGTCTGACAAGCCGGGCGTTTGCTGTTCCGGTTGAGGAGGCATTAGAACGGAAGAGAATGGCGGCACTGCCAAAACAAAAATTCATCGGATGGCAGGGAGAGGGGGTCCGAAGAACAGAAAAGAAGAAAAAAGTGAAAGCGAGGGAAATGAGCGAAGGAAAGGAAAAGAAAAAAAAGAAAGAATACGAGCACAGCAAACAACAAGCGTCCAACTATTGCAGGTAGTCGCGCTGATCACACTTACAGTTCGAGAGGGATTGGTATGCGAGTAAAAACTGCTCCGGCTTGGCTGAGGAGAGTGTGTGGAGTTGGGCCGTACGGGTCCCATCTCGACGGGCGTGTGGGCGAAAATGCACCGTCAACAGTCGACACAAACCGTATATATCAGATCCCCAATTACAACCAGTGCTTTCTGTTTTCGTTTCCTATAAGCGAAGCTGCATGAGACACAGCGAGCGAGGGACCAAAGCGAGAGGTAGGGAGATCCGGCAAGGATCGTCGGTAGGGTCAGTCCGTTCGTTCCGTTGGGTTGAGGGAGGAAAGGAAAAGTAGAAGATAAAGGAAGAAGAAAAAGAAAGGACGGGAAGACAAGGGCTTCAGTTGTTAAACAAAAAGAAGAAAAAAGAAAATTAAAAATTCTCCAGAGGTCCAGAAACGAGATCGAAATCCCCCCATACAATTAATAAATGGGAAGGTACGAAAGTCCTGGTCAGTCAGCAGCCGTGGGTGTGGAACCATGGATGCATTCTATATATAAATTCCAATCTACCAAATTCCTACGTGTGATTAATTCTAATTTAATTCTTTCTAGGGGACAGACAACCTTGATCAAGCACCCAACTGCCTGGAACGGCCAGATCCTGCTATGATCATTGGATCCATGCAGGGTCATGGCTAGAAAGGTTGATCAATGAGCTCGAGAATTATTTTTGGTATTTTAGGGAAATATTTGGTTAATTTCATATTCGTCCTCTTCAGGCGTGCACAAAGAACTAGGCTGCAAGGGGGGCGCAGTGATGGGTGTGGCTTGGAGAGACTCCCTTCTCCCTCTCTGAATAATAGGTCCAGAACAACAAATAAATCAGACCCAATGGAAAACAGAGTTAAATTAGAGAAAGAGGAAAATAAACTATGAACTAGATTAAAATACAATAAGAAATTTAATAGATAGAAGGAAATAACATAAAATGAAATAAAATAAAATAAAGAATCGAGACTGTGTAATTATAAAACCATCCCTATAGGAGTATTCCGTATAATCATGTCCTCTCCTCTCGGTTACTCCGTCATCAGCTTACTCGGCGTGGCCCACAAAGATGCATCTGAGTCGCCAGCTGGAAGGTCGATCGATAACCCCTTCAGGCATATCCTCAAGTCATCCCTTGGGTGCCTGAGGTACCGTACAATAAAAAATAAATAATAAAAAAGAAAAGCCTACTAATGTTATCCACCAGGTCAGTTGCCACCCCTACCGGGAGGGAAAACCCCTAAGGCCCCATCCCAGGCACGACATTGTACAACTCCTCAAGCCGAACGCAGCAACGCAACACACTTCATCAAGGGAACGACCAATCCTGAATATGATTCCTTCCGGTGGCTGACGCCGACCGTCCATCATCATCATTGGTCTTCCCCAGGGAGCAGTGCCTCCCTTCATGATCGCGCGACACGCATCCGGGTGGAGTCGTTCCAGTGCCCTCTCCCGATCGCTCAGTGGCCGTTCTCCAGGCGTTGCGGGTTGGGCCATGTCTTCTGATTTGTCTTGCTTGAGGAATGCCTACCCCACTGTGGGTCACAACATGCGCATAGCCGAGGGGGGCTTTAACATTCGATCAGTGAATGAATCCTTATGACGGGACATTCATGGACAGCGGGTGCAGTCGTCCGGTATGAACCGTGGCAGGACACTGACATTTTTTTGCCTTGGAGATGACATTTCAATCAACCTCTCCGGACAGGAGGTTGGTCGACTGGGTTGAAAAACGGCCCATGGAGATGCCCCATGAAACGCTTGTCGCACTGCCAAGAAAAGAAAAAGAACAAAAGGATGAGAAAAAGAAAAGTGGGGAACTCAGTTAGAGAGAAGTGTCCCTTGATTTTTCGACCAGTCCAGGACACTTCGTTTTGCTGATCACAAGTTGGCGGTTGAACACGTTGGACAACGATTGACAAGGCTGAGGGACGGTGTTGGTAGCCTATTTATTCTAGAATTTCCGGTGGGATCTGTCTCCATAATGGAGCGTTAGTTTGAGATACTATGATATTTCGTGGTATTTTTAGATTTTTAGACTCCTTGGTAACTTTTTGGCACAATAAGACCAGATCTTATAGATGCGGATGAACATTGTCTCAGAGTGCTTAGTACCTAGTAGATTTATTCCTATCACACATGGCGTGCCTATCCCTATCAATCAAGCATCAAGGGATCATGAAGAGACATTGTGTAACTCAGATACCAAGCCGTTCAGATCATCGATTCCCCTTTGGCCTTCCCGGTGGTGGAATGGGCATCCATGCGTTACTACATATGTTGCCGATTGGCCACCGCCTAATGCAACCCTCCATCTCTTCAGCAACGGCACAGCCATGAGAATGCAATGTGGGAAAGGGAAGACAAAGACATAAAATATATTAAAAATAAGAATATTATACAGACAGGACGGAGGATTTAAGCCATGTGGTTTGAAAGCTACAATTCGCAGAATAAGAATCAGCATGATTCTTCGCACCAACGCCCTCCCCTGATTCATCCTCGTTCTTTAGCGTCAAATTTCATCATCTATCGCTCCAGGGGTTACGGATTGCAATTCCACCTTGATTTGACAGGACGCTGGCCCACTTCCCGATGGTTTATGGGGGAATACGGTTTCAGGTCATCGCTGTTGCATTTATTAGGTTTAAGAACCCCTCAGGAGGCGTCGCGACCAAGATTCAAGGGTCCGTCCGAGGAGCGGAACACACCGAAAACCGTTACACCTCGGCTGTCACCAGAAAACATTCCATTGTACTCCGTACGAGGGGAACAAATGAGAATGCCCTGCCTTGACAGATTGTATCCGCCAAGGGATGAGGCTTCGGTGGTCGCGACGTGTTCCGTGTCTCCCTTTTGTTGTTGCCTGAGGCATGTATAAAGCTCGAAGGATGCTTCGGTGAAACCGATTTCATAACAAATCGTAGAAAAATTAAGGAAAAATGGTAAGAAAAGAGGCAATATAGCATCTATATCCCTGAATGCAATAAATAAGATATATCTTCCTATGACCACTGGTCTCCAAATGTCTGGTAGATCTGACCGGCAGTTTCGGATACACAGTTCTCTTTCCTTACCCTTCCAATACAACGTTAAGCGTTACACATATCAACAGGCATTCCAGGTTGGTCGCATTGCGTCCAGGTGGTCCATTCGGCTTTCAGCTTCTCATCATATTTTGTTATGGCTGATTCTAGCCCCTCGTACCAATCAGGCATAATGAGTTGTATGTAGTGCGCTTTGGTATATTCCCAGTGTTCTGGGTACCATCCACTGAACTCCCAATCGATACGTGCAGTGACTCTGCCATTGTCTACAATGATATTCCGCGGGCAGGGATCGGCATGGGTAAAGCAGCTTCGATAAGAACGGGAATGACAATCGGTCACCTCTTGGCCGAATACTTTGGTGGAGTCCTCGATAGGGATATTTTTGCGAAAAAAACAATGAAACTCTTCATGTTTCCAGAAAGAGGCGAAGGGGAAATATCCAGTACGATAGTTAGGCCTCCTTCAAGGCTTGCTGAGCCAACTATCTCTTTTTGCGGTGGCTCTAGGCTTCGGAGCTGCTCGATATAGCCTGCTATTTCACTGACCATCTGTTTCTTCTGTGGCGGTGACAGATAGCCACCAAGCCAGGCTCTTTGAACATCCATGCCATGAACATACTCCAGTTCAATATAGAGACTATCCGGACAGTGATAAACACCATAAACGTTAGGGACGGATACTGTTGTGTGCCTGGCGACATATTGCAAGGCTGTGAGCTCTGCAGCTTCGCATGGTCCTTTGACGATCCTATTGCGGCTGGCTCTGACTCCTAATTGCCCTACAGCGCCGAAAACCCTTCGTCCAACCCAAAGTCTGATTGAAAGCAGTGTTGATCTCCTACTGTAGAATATATCTCTCGGGGTATCCATGCAGTAGGGGTCTCTCAGGTTATTCTGAGTGCGCAATTGAATGGTGTGATCCTTAGCTCCGGAACCGGATGGCCTACCACCCTTGGCGATGGAGTCCGGTCTAATTCAATGGATGAAGATGTCGAAAACGATCACCTAGTTCATATTCGTCAAGGTTCTAGGACGTCTAGTAAGACCTGTGTATTTGGAATTAGAGTGTATGGTAGGTGTGTAGTTGGGAGTAGCAGGAAGGGCCAACTGTTCTCCTATTTTCAAGTCATGTTGTTAAATCAGAAGTAATAAAGAAAATAAGAAGCAATAAGAATTCATGCATAACATATGAAGTGCATATAATGAGGAAGAAAGATCAAGTGATGCTGTGGGTATCGTGGGTATGTATCGAGAATCAATCCAACAGGCCTGGACCCCGCCGATGCCCACCTCAGTGTTGCCTCGCCAGTTAGGATCTGTACTTTCAGTTGACTTAGCCATGTCCTTCCTTCTAGGGTTCTTTCTGTTCTTTTCCTTCTTTCTTTATTTTTTATTTTTTATTTTTTTTTATCTTATTTTAATTTCCTTTTTATCTCCTGTTTAAACATCTTCAGGCTTATGAATATCCCTCTAAGAGGTAAAAACCGGGCCACGGTTGTGCTAGTATGCTGTCACTTTTATATACATCTGTATCCACACTATATATGGTAGGGAGATCCTAGTACCGTCATTGCATTGTAGTCCACCGAAAGCATTTTGTATACTATTTAGCAATTGCTTTACGTATATCTAAAGAGACCTTTTGCGTAAAGAGAAATTTTACAATATGGGGAAAATAAAGAACTTATAAGAAACTTAAGAAAGACAAAAGAAAGACCAAGTGTTGCCACCCCCAATAAAATGCGGCGATATACATAGACTAACTCGGGTGAGTGGAGTCATAAGATTGATAAGATGATTTAATGCTTGATGTCAGTTCCTTGTTTTAGAGGCGGTGAAATCCAACCCCCCCTCAAGGAGGAAGACCGTTCCAGAAGGTACCACCGATCCCATCTCGCCTAATGTCTAAACATATATTCCACACATCACACTCACTTTGTCCTTACTCCACAGAATATGTAATTTATTCATTTAGACTCTCTCCTTTGCTTGAAAGCGCCTCAGTTGCGCATCCTCACACCATAGTATCATGTCCCTAGTGCAACGGGTGTCTTCCATTGACGGGGTGGATAATGTGGACGTCCTCGAGACTGAGAGTATCCTCTCCATCCCCATCCGGCGCGAAATCAGCTACGATGTCTTACCACCGCCTCCCGTGGAAGAGCTGTTGGACACGAAAGCAGCGACCCCGGCGTACAGAGTGTCAACTGCGAAGCGACTCGGTAAGCAAGAAATACCCTGGTGGGTTGCATCAAGAAGCTGACTCGCTTTGAAGCCCAGGTGATTGTGACGTTGTTGGCCTGTTGGTGCGCCTCGGGAATCGTCTTCGGCTTTGCGGCGCTGAAGCCCGTGATGATCAATGAAGGCGTGTACCAAAACCTGTGCACCGAGACGTTGTTGCCCAAGGAGGGCAACGTATGTAGAGCGCAAGATCTTCGGTACGTTCTCCCCATTCCAGCTTACGATTCATCCGTCTTACACACGTTCCCAGCCTAAATCTTTTCTTCATGGTCGGCTCTATCACGGCGAATGTGTCCGCTCTTCCGGTCGGCACCATCCTTGACCGCTATGGCTCTCGATGGTGTGGTTTTATCGGCTGTGTAGTTTTGGCTGCTGGTAGTCTGCTCATGGCCTTTTCTTTCTCAGGTCGCGTGGACGGTTATATCGCGGCAAACTTGTTGTTGGCGTTGGGAGGCACCTTTATCTTTGTCCCATCTTTCCGAATCGCCAATGCGTTCCCCAAGTACACCGGAACGATTGTCGCGCTCGTCACAGGTGCATTTGATGCATCAGCAGCGGTTTACCTCTTCTATCGTCTGGCGTATGAGAAGAACCCAGGGACCTTTTCCCCGAAGCGGTTCTTCCTCGCCTACCTAGCGGTACCGGCTTTCATTTTCATCGCATTGCTTACGATCATGCCAACCCACGACTACCAAACCACGCAACAGTTGCAAGTCAAAATTGAACAGGCCGAGGACGTCACGCAAGATGTCCATGACTCGGACGCCGAGATCGAAAGCAATTCAGAGCTGTGGCAGGTCCGGACGGACCGCGCGAAGGATCGGAAGGATCAACTACGCAAGATCGACAAAGTCTTCGGGGACAAGAGTGAGCGCAAACAACGACAGGAATGGGAAGAAGAGCGGCACGAAACAAGTCGGGTATGGGGGGTCTTGCATGGTTTACCGGCTCACTCGCAGATGAAGACACCGTGGTTCATCCTGATCCTTCTTATGACAGTCCTACAGATGTTGCGTATGAATTACTTCATTGCGACCGTACGATCGCAGTACGAGTTTATGCTCCACTCAGAACGGCAGGCCGAGATGATCAATGACTTCTTCGATGTTGCGTTGCCCGTAGGGGGTATACTTTTCACGCCTGTTATCGGGGTCCTGCTCGATAATCTCAGTGTGCCGGCTACATTGGCAGTAATCGTGCTCCTGACCACGACTACTGGCGTGTTGAATTCTGTTCCCGCTGTGTGGACGGGCTATATGACCGTCATCCTCTTCGTTCTCTTAAGACCATACTACTACTCGGCAATGTCGTAAGTATACCTGTTTGTGCCACATACTTTACGCAACTGCAATACTAATTACTCCAACATCAACAGCGACTATGCGACCAAAGTCTTTGGCTTCGGAACCTTCGGCAGAGTCTACGGGACAATCATCTGCTTCTCCGGCCTTGTCAACTTCGCCCAATACTTGCTGGACTATCTGACGCACGGTCCTTTCCACGGCAACCCGATCCCAATTAATATCTTCCTTGCCACGGCTGGCCTCGTCGTGGGTGCAGCCCTGGTGACCTATGTATATATTGCGGAGAAAATATGGAGGGATGAGAAGCGAGCGGAATGCGACGAAGAACGGCAGAGACTGATTCCGGAAGAGGAGGAAGAGGAAGCTTGAGACAATGAGGGACTTAGTTTGGCTGTTAGAACGGTACAGCTTCTTGAAGATATGTTGCAAATGAGTTTTAAACATTGCCTTACGCAGTGAACATATTGTTAGTGACACAGCATACGTTCGTTGAACCAGAGCATATTGATTTCCTGGCTATAACTGTGTTTAATCAATCTAAGTAGGAAAACAGCGTAGTGTCAAATCAAAAAGCCATATATAATCAAAACACCTGCCAAACGTAGCAATACTAAGTAGAATTGGCATTGAATGCTGATATAACCCCCAGATTCAGCTACCCAGCTATAGTCATACTAGCTACAGAGAGACGACTGTAGACATATCGTTATTTTAACGTCTCGGTCAGTCCTAGATGCTTGAAATCGTCTCTTATATAGCTAATTAAGCACTGGCATGTTATCCACAGAGCGAAACGAATATCGGGGGCGACCTATACTTGGAATTGGAAAGACAACGCGTGAGGGGAAAATAATATGTCAACTGAGTCACCTTTCCTGCCGTAGTAACTGTATAGTAGATTCGGGTTATTCTCGGAAGAACTGTTGATGTAACACAGTTTATAGCCCCCCCGGATCATATCAATAGATGAAAAAAAGTCAGGTACACGCAAACTCTCGTTGGCCCATCTCAATTATCAATGGCCATCTTTGAAACTAGTAGTCCGTATGCGTTTCCAAAGGTCTAACACAATATCACTGCAGAGTAAGTATTACATATTGCGTCATACGAAACTTACACCGAAACGTATGAGACGAATAATCCACCTTTCGCAGGTGTAGATCAGAAGCATGTGGTTGAATCCAGACCATCAGTATGGCAGAAGAGAATGGGCTCAGGGTCTTGCAATCCGTGACTTGATGAACATGCGGGCGTTATTATACAGGTCAACATTCGATATCCCTATTTAGGTTACTGAGTGGGGAATGGTACAGTGCAAGTTGATGATATAGCTTCTACTCTACCGGAGAGAAAATGTCAAGAATGCTCAGGACGTTAGAGCCAAAGGGACCGGCTGGGCAATACAGGAGCCACTGGAGTAAAGTGTATCATAAATCCCTAGCAATTGAATATAAAGAGAATATAGATACTAAGATGGAATTGAAAAAAATGCATTTCGGGATCTAACATTAGTTCTTATTAAAAATCAAATGCGTTGAATAGTTCAATAAACGGATGTTTATATATTTAGCCTGTGTAGATATTGCGATATACGGAATTGTTCTTGTACTACAGAGGTCAGCTATTATTTACAGGCTACTGGGACTTTTTTTAAGTCATTGTCTGTTTAGGACAGAAGCAGTGACCTGGTATCGACACGCGAGGCTACCTAGTTACTGAGCGCCTGGCCAGCCTTCCACAGCAGTGTCAGACAGCTCAGATTCCCGGTCCACCAAAAGAGGCCTCGCCACATAGCGGGCCCTCTCCGTTCCGCAGTAATGTAATTGATCGCATAGAGAACCCGCGCCACAGTGTACGTCAAGCCCGCCGCATTGATCGTCGTTCGCGGTACGCCGGCGTAGGTTGCAAGGGTAATTCCTGCGACGAAGAGGGTGTAGTTCTCGACGGAGTTGGCATGCGCCGCTTCATTGCGCTGGAGCTTTTCGAGCTGCTTCCGGGTTATTTTGCCGTCCCGCACGGCCGCCTCGCCGTACTTGCTCAGGTCCTGACGGGGAGATTCTTGGTGGTCGATGCCGTAGTACTGTTTGAGAGTGCGCGAGGAGAGGACGCCATAGGCGAACAAGAAGTGGAAGATGAGGAAGCCCGGGCCATAATTAGGGATGGGTGTCGATAAAGGGCTTTGAGTGAGGCCGACGGCAGTTAACAAGGACGCCATTGTCGCAAGGTGATGCAGGAGTGAGTGTGATTGTAAAAGAAGATGTGCTGTCCACTTGCAACATATAACATCAGAATGGCCCCCACTTCCCCCTCTCGGAGCTTCTCGGCGTTAAGGCGGGTGAGATTTTGGTCTGGCATGCCAGCCGGAATGTCGGGCGGCGACTTGCCGACGGACCGACTCGCTTCTTCAATCGGGTTGTAGATGCCCATGAAACTTTCCGCACACGATTAAAATCGAAATCGTGGAGTCTCTGGCTGCGATCGGATATGTGCAACGTCAACTAACCGTCCCAAAATAATATATTCCAGCTTCAACTTGATGCTATAGACCAACACCTTCGTGGTGACCTGCAGGGTGAAATAGCCCGCGAACTGAACTGCCACCACCGCGATATCGAGCACCATGATGGCCACATTGACGATAATCAGCTGCGTGAGAATGGTGCGCGACGGTCCGCCGCGGTCCAGCCGCAGTAATTTGGCGGTTTCCACTATGTATACGGAGGAGATCAGGAGCTCTTGCACACAGAACCACACCACCTGAATTCGTTCCATGATGCCAAACGCCACCGTCACGTTGTGAATGTAGGAGAGACCATTGTTCATAAACTCGAGCGTGGTAGCCGCAGTATGGAGGACGACGCCGTCGATGATAATGAGGTAGAGAATGGCCTTGAGCACCTTGCGATTGTGAACGACGAGGTGCAAACGTGACCAGAGGACAAGCGATTGACCGGTGACCATGCCTACCCAGCCGATGTCGGTGATAGCTAACTCGAGATATCCGTTGGTGAAGGTGATATGAAACATCTTCAGGAGGTATCCAAGGCCAAAGGGGATGATGGAGATGGAGGCCACAAAGAGACTCCAAAAGTAGGTACCGGCATAGCGCTTGAAGGTATTGAGACAGAGGACTACCAGTTCGAGGGCATTACACCAGGCGAGAGCGATGAAGACGGAGTAGACATATTGAGCGACGAGCGGATCGGTCAGTTGCCGCGCTAAACCCGTGCCGTCATTCTCGGGGGTGTAGCGTGGCATAGATTCTTAGCGCAAACATGAGATGGTGTTCCTCTCTTCTCTTAATGGGTTGTATCGATCGCGCTATGTATCCATGTATGTATCTAGCCAGAATTGGGGTTGGAAGACGGTTCCACGAGTAAAAGGAGAACGAAGGAAAAGAAAGGAAGGGAAAAGGAAGAGTAAAAGAACCGGAGAACTAATTAAAAAAGCGTCAGGTGAATAAGCTTTCGGCGAGAATATCTTAGTTTGTCAGGCTTGGAATGGAAGCCTCAGTCTACCAGGCTATGGAAGGTACTACCGTCACTGACCGAAGTCTGGTAGAGTTTATGGGAAACTTCTTAGGTCAGCCAATTGCGTCATGAAGAACCCCCTTTTAAAATGCCGCAATATTTTTCATTGGCTGGAGATACATACCCCGGATAACCGGAACCCAATCAGATGTCTGTCATTCTGCTTATCGCATGGACGCCACCAATTGGGGATTTGGACCCCAGTCATTGGTAAAGGGGGAGAGAAAGACAACTCCGGTTAGTACCACTTCGTGACGTTCATCACATGGTGACCATCTGACTTGTAACCTTCCATTACCATGTATTCTTCGAGCTACTGCAACTGCCACTACTATTATGTTGACAACTATATCGTGCAACTTCTGTACAACTTTATACCTCCTCATTATAATGGGACAGCGAGCATGCCGCCCAAAAGGTCATGTCACCGCACAATTACATCCAGCTTAAACTCTCATGCGAGCTTCATGAAACCACCTGAGCCCTCACACTCTGGTGCTTGTTTTCATGGGATCCAATATCGGGCTCACTAGCCTTGCGCAGCTGGTTCTGATGTGTAGCGCCCTTACCCGCCGTGAGGAATCCATAATCATGTGGGGCCTCCCAAACACCCAATTTGTCGACTTCCTTGACCGTCCAGTGTTGCGGATTCCGTGCCGTCCATTTCTTCTCTTTGGCAAATTTCTCATTCAGTCGGTTGAACATGTTCTCATACCTCTCCGACCCCTTACTCCAGCCACCGTTGCGCTGGTAACATCTCTGGAGTAGTGCCGTTTGCTTAGAGGCAATCTCGGCCGCCTCCGACAGCGTGATATCTGTGCTGTCTTCGAGCAGCTGGCGCAGAACGGATTCGTGTACCCCCATTGCGCGAACATGATCACTTTCGGCGGTGTAGAGAGCCGAGAGCAGATTCGTCAACTCCAAAGCACTTCGATCAAATGGACCCCAGACTCGCTTAACATTATAGCATAACCCACTACACAGCTGAGTTGCTTGTATGGTCCGACCATTTGAGAAGCGAGCCTCGACTAGTCGTCGCCCCACCAGAATGATAGTATCCGAAGACCAGGTCTTTTGAACAACACGAGAAGACCACAACTCGTTCAGGAGGAACTGTGCATGTGTCAGCGTTATCAAAGACGAAAAAAAAGAGGAATAGAGAGGGCCGATGGGCATGGGATACTCACCTCTAGATCTTCAAAATTCCTCTGGCCGCCTAACAAGATCGCAAGTTGGTTGAGATCTGTGGTCTCAAAGTCTGTGAGATTTACCCCTTTCTCATGATAAGAAGAGATAATCTCATGCAGGATGGTCTTGGAGAGTACTAGCATTTTCCCACTCAGTTCACGATCGGAACATTTACGGGACCCTTGCACAAGAAGATGCTCGGAGAGTTTTACGCCATCTCGGGTGCTGTCCTGATCCTGAAATCCGCCGGAATCTTTGACGAACTCGTGAAGGATGGCGGCATGGCTATACCCCGGTCGGAAACGGCCAGTGGTCAGTTTTTGATAAACATTATCGACGATCACGCGAGTCAATTTTTTCACTAGGCTTCCCTGTGGTGCCTGCGAGATGCAGATGTCGTAGAATTCTCGCAAAACGGCCTTGCCCGTTTCAATGCTACTGAACCGCTTAGTAAATAACTGAAACAGTTCTGCATCGGTGGCGTTGGCGTTCTCAGTCCAACCATTGAGGCTTTGGAAGTTCATCAAGCGGATTCCAGCAATGAATGTGTGGATAAAACCCTTCTGTTTTCTAGCGTGGTGGAATGCCGAGTAGAGCTGAATCTCTGCGATTAGGTCGGCCATTATGGATGCATAATTGCGACTCTTCCCCAAAGTCATCTCGAATGCCACGACGAAGCTGGTGGCTCTATGAGACCCCTTCGTTTCCATCGCCTCTTGGATGAGTCGGTGGCGGAGTTCTCTCGAAAGTCGGGTCCCTTTTTCTTTCAAACCAAAATCTACGTACATTTGCGCGAGCTCGACAGCCGCGGCGTACAAATGCTGGCTGTCTGTTTTCTCTTCGAAGGTTGCCACTGTACTTGTCTCGAGCGTCCCCCGAAGCTCCTGGTTTGCAACTTTATTGTTCTGTTGATGCAGTAGTTGTAGTAATTCCCGCAACTGTGGAAGACTATGATCCCGAGACGCATATCCATGCTCATGAACCAACGAAGTATATTTTTCTCTGTATAGCGCGGCAGCCTTGTGAGTGGTCCGAGACTGGCGGGCGTAGAGATCAGCCAAACAGTGTTTCAGGGCCATTGCGGTCATTTCCTGTCGGTCAGAGAAGGTTTTGCTCTGTTCAAGAGCTGTCTCATACAGTTCCACTGCTTCATCATGGTATCTTCTATCTCTGCGAGAAATTTCGGCCAAAGAAAGTGTTGCCTTGTAACTTTGTCGACTGGAACTCCCATGCCGTCGTTGGCACATCTTGCGATAGCTGGCTGCTAGATCATGAATTTCTACGATATTCGCCTCCAGCTTCGTCTCCAACAACGTCTTGTAATGCTGGTAGACTTCTTCGACAAGCTCACTGCTTAACAGATGGTCCTTGTCACCGCTGGAAATTGTCCACCACAGTGTCTCATAAACGCCCTTTGCCTTCGTCCATCTTTCAGTTTCTTCGTAAATGGCAGCCAGAGCACGAGCAGCGGCAATGGCTCGATGGTCTAACTGACTGTTGTGCCGAAGATTGTTGTATACCTCCTGATACGCCTGTTCAGCTTCCTTTTCGTGGTGACACCTCTTTGCTAGGTCTCCCCATTCGTACAAGATCTCAATACTCTGCCTGTGGCTCTTGCCTAAGCGCGAAGAAATATTCGTATACAAATTTTCGTACGTCGTTATTGCCTCAAGGAAGCGGTATATGGTCCGATAAAATGTGATAACTCTGTCCGCAGTGGATCGAACCATATGAGTGTCAATTGCATCAGAGGAGAGTACGGCTTTGAGGACGTTCTGATACACGAGTGCTGCCTTGTCAATTTGCAGATCTTTGAAATAACAGTCTGCAAGGCTTGTTCCTAGTTTTACCGTTTCATCAACATTCTCAGTGAGTCGGATTGTCGCCGACTTGCTGTCTATCCCGGACCAGATATGAGACAAAGCCCGACAATATACACCAGCAGCCTCGGGGTATCGTTCCCTTTCCATCAAAGAAGACGCCACCTGCTTAGCGGCCTTCATTGATGCTAACGTAGTATCGGATGAATGGATCCCCACTGATTTGGCAGACTCCAAAATCTCATGAATTATCTCCATTTGTTCCTCAGACATCGACGCCTCCCCTGATGAAACGGTAGAGTTAGATTGCTGGACAGTCTGGGCTAACGACGCGGCTACTTGGACAAGCCGATGTGAGGCTTTCTTATGGGACTTGCGATATCCCCACAATGTTCCCATTGCGGATTGGGCTAGTGCGTCCCATTTCATGTTCCGAATATGACCGAGTACCATTTCAAAAGTTGAGCTTAACTGGTCAAAGCGAGAAATCTGAGATTCCAAGCAGAACCATGCAGCGCTAGTAACGGATTCTGCCTCTTCCTTACGAGAGTGTCGCTCGAGATACTCGGCGTACCTTATAGTGAACTCTGCTTGCTGCTTGGTGACAGTACCCGACGTATCCTCAACGGCTAAAAGCTTTCTCCAGGTATCCAAGAAGAGCGCATCGGCTTTGGAGGTTTCCCCGCCGTCCTCGTAGATCTTAATCATTTGCAACGTCGAATCGATCATACGTTGGTCGGTGACCGCTAAACTCTGTTTCGAGAATTCATATTCGGTTTGCAATATTTCTGCAGTAACGTCAGACATAGAAAGTCTTTCGAGTTGCCTATATATGTGCTGGGTGATCTTCTCCATCTCCTGAGAATGTTGGCCATATCGAGCAATGCTCATCTCAAAGAGCTCTTTGGATAATCTCCTCACGGACTCCTTGTGCTTCAAAGTGGCATAGTGATCGAGCAGCATCTGTGTGTATTTGATTGTCATATCAGTTGAAAACCCGAGTTCTTCCTTTGACGCTTGCAATAGATACTCTAGTATTTCCTCCTTATGGCGCAAGAAGGCCTCCTGCCTAGAGTCTTTATGTGCTGCAACGTCAATGAAGATCTCGGCGCTAAATCTCGTAACAACATTGCGCGACCCCAAGAGGGAGTTGCTCTTTCTCCAGGCCTCATAGGAATAGTCAATAGCGTCAACGGATTCGAGTCGCTGTGAAGTCTGCGCTGCGTTGATTAAGCTTTGCAAAAGTGGGAGGGAAAGGTCTGGGAGGAGCTGCCGACGAAGTTGGACGCAAAAGGCCTGCAGCTCCTGCACCTGGTATGGCAGATATTGCAGTTGATGGCAGCCGCCTTCAAGTAGTGCCAGTAAAACGGAGTCTGGGAAGCTCCGTTTGAATAGATTGGTGACCTTGAAGCTGTCTCTTTCCTTCTCGTTCATCTGAGAAGACCTGAAGTGCAGTGTCCAATACCTTGCCGCATATTCGAGAAGTTGATATTGATCGAAATATCTGTGTTGGGCAGACTGGCTCAATGGTGTCGTGGACACTTCTACCTCATCGGTTATATTGAGCTTCACGTAGGCCAACAATCGTATAAGAAGGTCGGAATGCGCTTCCTTCATGGTCAATGGCAGTTTTCCTTTGCCACTATCACCAGTGGCTGATTTCGCCTGATTGATGAGGAACTGTCGGAGAGCAGATGATCTAAAGGAAATAACTTCATCTTCAATTGTAATAAATGAGCCAAATAACCGACGAATGTCGCCTTCGGCGTTTCCTACACGAGGTACAACTTCTGTCCTTTTCGTGTCGATCTCCAAAAGAGAACGAACCTCTTGCACTCGCAGGGGCCGGTGGGAAACGATTGTCCAAGCCAACAATGATCGTGCTGTCCAATCGCTCAGGTCAATCGAATCGAGTGTCTGTTTTAACATATCTTGAAGCGAAGGAGGTATTTTCTGTACCAGGGATATCATGTCTGACGAAGTCCTCAGGGCGCTCAACTGACCGACCGCCAATTGTGCGATAGGGAAACATCCTTTTGCTTTCTTTACAATGCCACCCTCGATTTCTTCTCGGTCTTCTAATGTTAGTCCAATGCACACTTCGGATGACTCAATTTCGTTGCGAACTACTGTTCGAACATCGCCCGCTGTCTGGCTTGGTTCGATCTTAATCCGATAGGCCTCACTAGGCACACTATACAAGGGCCTTGACAGGGCAATCACTTTAATTGAAGGGCTTTGTGAAACCAACATTTTCAAGTGATCAAAGAGACGAGGAATAACCTCGGGATCCCCGTTGAGACTGTCGACACCATCGACGATAACCATCATTTTCCCTGTTTCTTTCACAGCAATGTTTATAGCCCGCCACAAAGAGTCCTCCACACTCTTACTGGAGGCCCCAGATGTGTGTAGGCTCATTGAGTGCTCTAGAGCCCTTAGCAGATCTCCATCCTTTGCTTGGCGTCCGAGTATCTCTAGTAGTAACCCTTTCGCCAATCCTATAGGACCGGTAGTAGCGCTGATATCGTCGTCTGTACGAGGATTAGTTTACTCTTGCTACACCTTCCAGTTTCTTAGGATTTGTATCTCACAAACTCTGAAGGTGACAACATCATAGTCTTGTGGATCGGTAGATGTTTGAAGTTGCTGGGTGATCCACTCAGATAAAACAGTCTTCCCTGTGCCGGTGTCACCGGTTACAGTAAATAATTGACTGTCGCTTGATCGTATCTGAGAAAGTCTATTGGCAAACCACTCGCAGGTGTACTCTGCTGGCTGAGGTGAACGAGCAGAAAGGACCCTCGAGGCTTCCCGATCCTTGACGGACAAGTACTCCCATATCTCTTGCACCTTTTCTGACGGATCCACACTGACATCGCCCATGATAAGTCTACTCCAAAGCCTTTCTTTAACCGTAATACGATGGGAATGGAATGCTTGAACCTGCGAACTAAACCGTGATTGTAAATCGGATGCATCCAGAGCCTTGGAGGAGCCTTGGACTTTTTGGAAATAGTGCACACTGGCTGAACAAATAAGCCCACATAGCTCAGCATACGCAGCCACAAGCTCTTGCTGAGCAACTGTGTCTGCCATTAATATATCCAGATTGTTCTTAAAATGCGACAACTCAACCGCAAATCTGTGGAATCTCTGGAAGAACGAGGCTAAGAGTCCTGCCTGTTCTGAACCACACTGATCTCAAATTAATGGGCTTTATTCGGCGAACCTCTGCACTTATCCGAATACGTACCTGTAGAAGCAAGAGAAAACTTCCCCCCATTAGTCGGATTACGCGCTCGGTTCCGGATGAGAAACTCGCCATCAGTCGGGCGAGTTGCTCCAACCGGCCTACTAGGACCACAGCGTGCTTGAAAGCTCGATCAAGTTGACTGCCATTCTCGGGCATAAACCTCAATCGTTCCTCTGCAATACCGTCGAAGATATCTGTCGTCGATCGTACACTGTCGAACACTTCTTTCGCTGATGCGTCTAGCTGAGGTCGCACTCGGGAGGCGATTTGATCACTAGCCCGGTGGAGGGCACCCTGCTTTCGAGCGTCACCTGCACTCCCATTCTCCCCCGTTGCAGAGATCGCATCGTGGAATATGTCCTGCCGGAAGGACGGATACCCGGCGGTGGGATGGACGACCTCTGCCGACATTTGCAACTCAACGCGACCCTTCTTTCAAAATGTCGAATTCGCGCATGTAAGTAAACCTACAGTGTAGTTGCTTAATTAGCTGAGAGGCGGGCCGGAAAGGTTTTCATTGAACATTAAGGTCTAGCCAAGCAGGCGACGTCGTATTCAGTGATCTCACTTGACATCATCACTGCGGAGAGAGCTCGCAGATTGGTGTACGCAAGCGGTAGCATCGGTACCTTACTGTATTTCCACAAAGGGGGAGCTTCTAGTGGATAGCTTGATAATTGGTGAGCCATTCAGAGCGTTGTCTAGAACTGTGAACATCATCGCTTCCATAGTATGGAAAGGGCTGTTCTATGTTTCTGTTTACATCATGAACTGAGCTGAACCCGTGACGACTTGCCATAATGACCAACCACATAACCCTAGATGCCGATCCATACTCCGGGGTGCACTTGTGGTATTCACCTTCCTCAAGTATTTTCGACTCGAATCCTGTTTCGAGTGAGTGTTTTCCACAGTGGATGGATTGGTTTTCTGGTACAAACGCTCATATAAGGTTTCTTCTCCACACCCCACATCATACATTTATCCGCGCACATCCGGTCCTCTATTACGTATTTTCCATGACCTTGAACGAAGCACAACTCCTCTTATTCAGACTTAGTATGCTGTGACTGAATTGTCCCTTGGAAACGCGCGAGATAGGCATCTTAGCCTAGCGGAATAAACCGAGGTCCACTCTTTCTGGAGGCAGCTTAAGGTCTAATCAGTTTATTACTACTTCAGTGTGCGCCTTCTGCAAACAGGTGTCTTGTGAATTCTTCCAGTATCGTGGTAATCTGGCAAGTCAAATATCCCTATCTATTTTCGAAGCAATCGCATCTCCTTTCGTGTGTACCCGCCCAGAGTCAGCTGTCAACAATGACCAAGACGATACCCATAAGCTCAACCAGGAACACATGCTATGCCAAGTACAATAGACTCAGGTCTGCTTATACTAGGCCGCCGTTAATATACTCATCCCTTAATACCCACCTCAGCCGTTGCCACTAAAGTAATCTACAGGGCTCGGAAGATCACCGAGGAAGAGGTTTCCACTCGCTAACGCTGCCTTTTCAGTACTGGAGCCCAGTATAGGTCGTACAGATTCGCAAGCATGGAGCCCAGAGAATCTGTAGTGCGTCATGGAATCATACATGGCTTCGGGGCCAAGACCGAGGTTGGACGGGAATCCTTCAAATAGTGTTATTCACAACGGGTTTTCTGCGTGTTTAGGACTAGCATAATCGCCTTGCTGAGCAAATAGTTGAGATGAACAGGGGCATGTGGGATAATTAATAAAGAGATTATATTATCGGATTCGATATAGCATGATTGGGAGAGTGTGGCTTAGCTACAGTTACTCCTGGAGATTGCGGAGGGAAGCTCCTACGAGGCAGAAGAAAAATAAATCACGCAAAGGCAAAAGAAAGGGAAAATTAATTATGTATTCTGGAAAGTTATGCATCAAAGAAGAGCAGTGCCCTGGTGCCCCGTTGCCCGTAATTGTGTCACTCTGTGCAATCTTCTAGCCCAGCCGATGCATCGAACATGCAGCACTCAGATATTCTCCAACGGAAACTTTCAGGTACATTGAAATGCACCTCTCGGCATCCAGGCATTTAGCTCTAGCCGAGCCAATAACACTTAACATCAAGGAGGAGAAAAGATGGATAACGCGTCGTGCTAATAGATTTAATCTATTGTGGGCAAGCACGTGGGCCTCCTGTTGGCGGAGATCAGCTGCCGATTTGCCCTAATTGTCAATGATCGTCTCTTTCGGCAGCAACGGAATACATACTGGAAAAGAAAGTAACTCCTTCATTCTCGCAACATGAGGAAGGAGATGAAAGAGAAAGTCCTACATAAAAGACGCCTGTTCCGCGATGGAACTAATTGAACAATTGTCTTTCCCACCCGAACCGTCGCCATGCATTTCCCGCTCACTCTCGCTGTCCTGCCCCTCGCAGCCCAGGCTGTGAATATTATTTCCGGCAACGATGACGGATGGGCCGAGAAGAACATCCGTACTCTCTACGATACGTTGACCGCGGATGGTCACTCGGTCGTGATTTCGGCGCCAGCGGAAAACAAGAGCGGAACAGGTATGTTCTCTCCTTGTGCTCTCCTACCTACTCACACTAGGATCTAACCAATTGCACAATGTAGGCTCCTCGGACGCAGAGCCTACGGAATTGACCGAAGCCTGCGAATTTGACAGCTGCCCAGAAGGCAGCCCCGCAGTGGGAAACAACGCTACCCAGCCGCGCTGGAACTACGTGAACTCATACCCTGTCACGTCGATCAAATATGGTATCCAAAACCTCTCAACCACCTATTTCAACGGCAACCCAGACCTGGCCGTCACCGGTCCAAACGTCGGCGCCAACCTAGGAGTGGCGAACGCCATTTCCGGCACAGTAGGAGCCGCCTGCTACGCCGCGCACGACGCGGGTATCCCAGCAATCGCCTTCTCCGGCTCCAGCGGTTCTGCAACCGCATGGGATGATCCCACGCCTGAGTACGCTACTATTTACGCCCAACTGGCGACCAAGGTCGTCGACAAGGTCGTGGCTGCCGGCACGCCCTATCTCCCCGAGGACGTCTACCTTAACGTCAACTTCCCCAAGGTTGACGACTGCGCCAGCGTCGACGATTACAAGTTTGTGCTGTCGCGCATTTACACCGCTGTGCCGCTTATTTCGGGCGATGATGTGGAAACTTGCAGCAACGATAAGCGACTGCCGACTGAGACTAAGGTCACGGGTTCGGGCTGCTATGTGAGTATCTCGGTGGGCAATGCCTCGAACAAGAGGGATGCGAATGCGACGGTCCAAGAGGAGGTGCTGAACAAGTTGGGCGATTTCTTGACTTGTCTGCCTTAATTAGATTAACTGATTGCGCCACGATCCACTGGCTCGGAGATGCATGGTTAGGGTAATTTATATTAAAACCGTTGCGTGGCCGCTTGGTTGCATGCCATTGGCAATATTGTACAGTTTCTATAGCCAAGTTAATTACTATTGGTGTCATAACTTAATTTTGCCTAAACCTGCCCGACTGTTAATCTTTCTTGTCTCTGAATTGTAGTACTGCACATTCGTTTGAACTAAGGAAGATAGCTCTGTGAGCCCGAATCCTTCATCATGCAGAGAATAGGCTAGCAGGGATGGCTGCATAACATGAGACGCATTAAGCGCATTATCTGCTTGATTAGTTAAAATCTCCGAAAGATAAGACATACTAGAATAGGCTCGAAAAGGCGCACAGCGCGATAGACATGTCTAACGTATTGCGACACGACATGGGTTATGGCATCCATCGAATGCAGTAGCACTCTTACGAGCAAAACTATTTAGCACTAGAAGCAGTAGTTCTACAAAAGCCGCTTCCGATTGGCAGCTATCGAGGGGACGGTCACGACCTGAGACAAGAAATGCGTTAGCTGTCAGTCCATCGAACGGTGCCTGGCATGTTAACTTAAACAGTAGAACCCACTCCCCGCCAAGCCAGGAACAGGATCAGTCCGATAGAACCCTGACTTATCCATTGACGATCCTTTCAGGTACCACGTTCCTGATATCGTTCGGTTGGCCGGATATCGCGCTCTTCCGCAAGGAGGGTCCGCATGTGATCGGCATAACGTCGGAGAATTGTTCGCGCGAAGGAATAGGGATCGACGAACTATGCTGAGTGGTTCGGTCGCTCGTATAAAGGGTAACGGGCGTCTTGTAGGAACAATGTCGGTCAATTGAATGATCGTCAGCCTCAAACAGTCTCCAAAATGGTCTCGAAACTTCTTCTCCTTACCGCTGCGCTGTCGCAGCTCGTTCAGGGCGGTCTCATTCGCCGAGAATCCATTGATCATGACAAAGTGGTGGGATTTCCTGAGACAGTTCCCTCAGGAACCATTGGCGATGTGTACAAGGCGTATCAGCCGTTGCTGAAAGTCGTCAATGGATGTGTCCCTTTCCCTGCCGTAGATGCCCAAGGAAACGTCAAGTAAGCACGGAATACCTCGTCATAACCCCGTCGAATCAAGCATACTAAGTACGAACAGCGGCGGCCTCGATATCTCAGGCTCTAGCGACGGCGACTGCTCCAAGAGCGATGGACAAGTCTACGTCCGCGGCGGCAAGTCCGGTGACAAGTACGCCCTCATGTACTCGTGGTATTTCCCCAAGGACCAGGCCGCGCCCGGCATGGGACACCGCCACGATTGGGAGGGTGTGATCGTCTGGATCTCTGACCCGGCCAAGACATCCGCGGATAACATTCTTGCCGTGTGTCCGTCCGGTCATGGCAAATGGGATTGCTCGAAGGATGGCTACACGCTCCAGGAGACACACCCGTTGATCAAGTACTACAGTGTCTGGCCTGTGAACCACCAGTGCGGTCTTACGAATGAAGTCGGCGGATCTCAGCCTTTGGTTGCTTATGAGAGCTTGCCGGAGCCCGCGAAGAATGCGTTGGAGTCTGCCGACTTCGTCAAGGCAAATGTGCCGTTTAAGGAAGAGAACTGGGCTGAGAATCTGGGGGAGGCTACTTTCTAAATTCTAAGCAATGTAAAGGCTTTGCATGAGTAAAGCATATGTATAGGGTAGAGCACATTCTATATAATGTTTAAACTGAGAGAAACCATTGGACATAACTTTTCTAGTTGCACAATGCTTAGAACAGCAGTTTTAGCATTTTTGCCAGCTCTGCAACGTCTCAGTTATGCCAACATGGACGTCCTTTGTTAATATTTATATTATTTTCTTCTCTTTGATGCATCATATGTGAGAATTACAAGGCATGAATATGCACAAGTGACAGTGAAGTAATTGCTGGCACCAGATCCACACCTCACCCCGGGCAGACAATCTAGCTTTAGATATTAAGCTATACGACTAACCTCGCAAAAGATTGCTCTACCATCTTCCTGTTAGTGATGGTTTTGCATAGTAATGTAACTTGCCTCCACTACTTTAACA